AAAGGAACACGGAGGACGAGCGTTTAATTGAATTTGTAGGAACCTGCAGCAAACTATAGGATTTCGGTTGCAAAATATATTACAAACCCACCTGACAAAATGAAATTGTGGATCGAAATAAGAAAAAAATGGCCTGCAAACTTCCACGTTACTACGTTACTGCTCCAAACATATCGCATTAGCCATCTTATGCATCCTCATCTAAAATTACCATGATTTTCATTAAATTATACTTGGAAAATGACATTGTTCCCGTTTCGATCGAACGAATAAAAATGAAAGAGATTGCCACGGGATCTGACTGTTTAGTTTTACTGTAAAATCTCAGATTTCAATCGATCCTGATCTGTGTCTGTACCTTAGGCTCGTAGCGTGAATCAGGCTTTAGTGTCGATGCAACGTGTTTCAACGTAGACAGAGTTTTGAAAATGTTCAACTTTGAAGTCGAATATCTCCATTTTGGTAAAGCAAATCTTCTTGAAAATTGAATCCTGTAAGGATAATATACTAAATAAAGTATTGCCAAGATTTCAGAGCAACTGTAAGAAAGAAAGGCTAATTTCCATTGCAAATACCTTAATGCATCGTTGACAAGGCGTTAATAGAACGAGGGGGAGAATAAAAAGTGTACACACTTCGTGCATCAGGTCGACGATTCCAAGCGGAAATAAAAATAGAACTTGCTCGTTCTGTCTACTTATTTCTTCCTCTCTTATCGTTCGTTTTCTATTTCTGTGACTGTGCTCTGACACGCAGCGTAATTTTCTCGTCGTTCATTCATTCTCCACCGATACTCCACCATGTATTATTCGATACTATGAAAAATTCAAGCCATGAATTCCAAAAGCAGCACAAGTCCACTCTCGACAGTTATTACCATGAGTTATGGATAGAACTGTTTTTGGCTGGATTATTAAGAACGCTATATCACGAAATACACACTGTACGACCAAATGCTCGCAGTTAGGTTTGCTACATCTACAAATTAACTGAAATTGATTACATTTTTAATTAAATGTTTAACTTGATCATACACCGATATATCACGAGTAGCCGGACGCTTTGCTCGATTTGTAGTAACAGTGTGTGAATTTGACCAAATTATACGAATCAACGATGAGTCAACAATTAAAAGCAACACTTGCTACCTTCTTATTAACCTACCTGCGTATTAAGAAACAAAGCACTAATTTATCCTCGTATTTACCGTACACAGTGTATACGCATGTATAGTAATTTAATACACACATTTGCTGTTTAAATATCAGCGACTGTATCAACATCGTGAGTCTTCCTATTTGTTTGAAACAACCTTCTTAATCCGCCCTGTAATTGAACAGTTGAATAGTCTTCAGATAAAGAGCTAGTAAAGTAGGAAAGTACTTCTGTCAGATACGACTTATTATTTTACTATTTAATTTTATTATATAATATTTTATTATATAATTTAATTTGTTTTATTATTATATTTCTTGTTACGTATTATTACGCACATAGTCGATTAAATTGACTTTTGAAAATCAATTTAATCGGACGTACACCTTAGCTACAGCGATCACGAAGAACCAAACCATCGTAGTTTCATTTGACCGTATGATAATTTTGAGGTTAGGATACGTCTCGTCAGAGATAAACAAGTGTCCCGTATACTTTTCAGCGACTGCGTGTTTTTTTTTAAGTAAATTCTGTCAAATTTGATAAAATCCGGCTCGGGGGAATGGCACGATGATTTCATTGGGAGAATCGATATCGTTGAGCTGGTTCGAGGGTGAAGAAGAATCGATACGATCGTTTATAGGGAATTATGTAAAACAGGGCATGGCTGTGGCATAATTGAGGAATAAATTCCATCGTTTGGCCCAATTAGCGGCAGTAAACCAACGAAAGTAACGATAACGAGTCAAGAGGACCAGCTGTTGGAATACTGGTGGCCATTTTTCACAGTGAAAGGAGAGAGGGAAAAGACCAACCATAGGAATTTCATGCAATTCTAACCTATTCATCAGAAACTTCGTTAGAATTAGTTGGAAAATTCTTTGAAAATGTTAGGTTATGTTCGTAGCTATCAGGTTGGCCAGTTGTTAGTAGTTGTACATCGACGAGTGCTCTACAGCGGGAAAATTTATCGTAGAAACAAGTCACTGGGTTCTGGGTTGCTGTTAAGCATCGACAATACAACACACGTACACAGTGGGTTCCGAAAATAACCTAACTTTTTAACACTGTCGACCGGTGTCACGTGATTTCGCTCTGCCATCTGTCGTGAGCACCCAAATAGCGCGAGACGAAACGATTTAACAAATACAAAATAAATGATCCATTGAAAATGAATGGTCAGAAAATAATTACAATGTCGATTTCAGTAACTGAATGCGACAATCAAGAAATGAATTATTAAAATACCAACAGTCAGAAACCGATCCAGACAGGAAAAAAGCGATGGCGACATCAGTACGACATCCTTCGTTATGGTGGTGTCAAATTCTTATGGCGGTTATACCACTGGAAGGAAAGTTGTAACGATCAACGTCAAAGTGGATTTTGTTCACGCGTCGGAAGATCTGATTCCGTCGCGCGATAATACGATGGCCCATCACGCGGCTACCGCAAATGCTTTTCTCTCAAACGGATCAAAATGTTCCACCTCTCAACCTGTTCGCCAGATTTAGCGCAATTACTTTTTGTCTCGACGAAACGACATCGCCTGTAGACAGTCCACACACATCTTTCGGTGCAATGTCCGTCAGTGTGAACGCGCCATAACGTGCAATCACGCTGAGTCAACCCCGTTCGATCGCTTGATCAGATTGTCGAACATTTATGGTCCATATAATAACCTTTCTAACAACGGTTCGCGTATGGAATTGACGAACAATGAGAAAGTGAAAAACTGGTCTACCAGCCATGCAGCCTTTTACGTTTGCCTTTGTATTTTCATTGTTCCCTTTTAACGCCTGAAACAGTTCACAGAGTGAAACACACGTTGGCCATTTTCATTCGCTTGCAGAAGTAGCTGCCGCTGGCGGGAGGCAATCGCGCGTGAAATTGCTCTGGCAAATTTGTTTCTGCTCGAGAGGGGTAGGAGGGGGGAGGGGACAGTGAGAATTGGCGGGAAAAACCGGCCGACCCATTTCCGGCGAACATTGCGAATTTCCGAAAGCGAAGGGTCACAGTCGACCCATCCTGCGAAATCATTCTCAATCTCGTTGCCTGGAAGATTTCAGGATTTTCATGGAAATTCAACGAAAAATCCTGTTTTTCTTCCCTCCTTTCCAAGTTTCGCGTCAACGATGAAAATCCAATAGGATGTTTACGCGCGCTATTGTTTGGACGCAAAGTACCGTCAGTCCGATCGGGCATTCGATACGTGGAAACAGCACCGATGGATCTCTCGATTCTTTGAAAAACCTGTTAGCCTGCTTTCGACCGGTTTAGAAGTTTTATAGCACGTACGCAGTGAACATTGAAAACACGGTAGATTGAAAAAGTTCCGGGACTAATGTCATTAGGAACGCAGCTTTCAAGGTAAATGAAATTTGATTATTTGCTATTCGACATACGTCTCCTCCTACACGAATGTTCTACTTCTCTCTATGTACAAATTCTGTATGTAACTGCTCATGTAAGTGTGGAGAGTGCGCGTGGTCCTCCTTTGAAATTGTCTTTTCTCCTCGTCAGTTTCTTCGTTATTGTCTTGAGTCGTATGGGCTGCAAGGTGATCAGCGACTGAGGTACGATGCTGCGGATCATGAGATATTTTATACGCGAGAACTACGAGAAGAATGGCGAAGAGACGGACTTACGTAGTTTTAGGTGGAACCACCTGGTAGAACATCTGGTGAAACCACTAGAGCCATCTAGACACGGTACGACGATGAATGAGAGTTAGAGAAGTTCTTCTGAGATTGTATTTAAAACAGCCGTCATGTTCTTCCGAATCGTTTCTGCATCGTCAGAACGCTGCTCTCATTCAGTGGCATCTTGGGCTTAGGAAGAAGTCAGCAGAAGCGAAATCCGGGCGGTAAGCTGGGTCTCAGGCAACCCATCGACCAAGCGTCAAATAACTGAGTGGTGAGATCCGGGAGATGTCAGTCCGATGAAAGTGACGGTCACAAAATCAGAAATGGGAACGACGTTGGTCGTATATTTTTATTCAAGGTCACTGATTCACTACGAATTCGCGCCATCCGACAAGACTGTAACTGGATCGTTTAATACAGAAGCACTTGATGGCTTTTGAAAGGAATTCGTAGAGTCAGGCGAGACACGTAACAAGAGCGAGAATGGTCTCTTCTGCATGGCGATGCTCCGGCAGACTATAATCGTTGATTGCCTTGCAATTTGTTGCTAGAAAATCGGTACACTGATTAACCACCCACGCTACTCCGCAGATTTAGCTCTTCGCTTCACTTCATCCCGTTTCCTACGTTGAACGCGTCACCGTGAAAGGACAGCGTTTCGGCGATGTAGGAACAATTCGGAAGAATGGAAGATTAATCGGTTCTGAACAAGCCAACTGCTATGACTAATACATGAGCGATCTAAAATTTGTGTATATGCGTGTAATATTATCGTCACATCACCAGAACAACCAAAAGCCATTAATAAACACACGAAATGGTCATAAGTAATACATCTAGTAACATTTCACACTTTGGTGTGAAGAAAAACAGGAAGGAGGTTAGTTAGCATAATTTGTTATTAATTTATTTCACTATTAACACAGAAACATTGATTCATCAACGCGGTATCTGACGTTACATCGTTCGAATTAACAAAAATCATTAATTAACTCGCGGAATAATTAGATCTATCGCGTCTAGTGACATTGCACACTTATCTAGGGGAAAACAGGAGAAAGCTTTCAAGCATAATATTTACCGCGAAATCATTTTCTCGAGAGAACCTAGCGAAAGACAAAAAAAAAAGAGAAAAAGATAAAAAAATGTTTGAGTTGGAATGCAACATGCGGGAGATGAAAATATTTTTCTGGTTGACAGGAGCAAGATGGAGTAGCGGAGGACGGCGTTGAATTGGTCGGAAGAGTTTTTCGACCGACACAGGCAGAGAAAGGGACGATATGGAGAAATACGGCGTCGAGTTCCCGAGGCACGAGTGGAGCCACCGCCTCAGCCTTCGTGCAAGTCGAAGAAGTCACCAGGTAAATCATAAATAACATCCGCGTTTACTTTTCAAAGCCTTCGTCCCGGTTCCTTTTACGACTTCTTTCCTGTCTCTTTTTTTCTTTCTCTTTTTTTTTTTTATTTTATTTCGGTTTTCCGAGCAAGGAAAGAGATCCCCGAGTGTTCTCAACGCAGAAAGATTTGCAGAGACGCTTAATGTGGCGGAAAAGTTTCTCAGAATCGAAGGTTCATATTAAGAAAGTTGGCTGAGAACGATTCTTCGTCCGGCCACACGGAACATTCAAGCGGCGGAAAGTTACATTTGCTCTTTGATTGAGAAACGACTTTACTCTTCCCACCCACTTTACCTTTAAACTTCTTGTTTACCTCTTTCCAAGGAAACATCCTATCTCGGATGGTTACCGTGTAATATTAGGTATCTTCCACTGCGTTTCGTAACGTGTAACACTAGGTGACTGTGAATTCCTGGATAATTCTAACGATGTAGATGCTAGTCACGACAATTCTCTAAACTAAATCTCAGGGCGGCCAAATTTTAGACGTAACATAAATCCTAACTGTCGAAGTAGATTTTACGAGTCTTATGCGAAGCTCGGACAAGTTTGCTTAGAAATCGAACTGAAATTTGAAATTAAACGAGAAGAGTAAAAAATACGAATAACGCTAGTTTCACAACTGGTTGAGATATTAACGAAAGTCCCTATATAATATGTATATAAACAAGATGGAGACTGTCGTAGGGTATCAAGAAACGAAGTTATCGTAGAAGGTAGGATAAGCGAAGTGGCGATAAGCTGGTTAAGAGTTTTGGAAAAAAAGCGTGAGAATATAGGTAGTGAACTAATTGTGTGCCAAAGACATATACGCGATAGTATACACTTTAATTATAGGATAATGTATCTGTATAGGTTAAGTACTGGATAGGATAGGTTAAGTGTTATACATTAATTAGTATACAATATTAGTATGTATAGTACGTACAGAACTAATTGTAAGCCAGAAACGAATACGCGATAGGTTAAGAGAAATGAAATTATACGTAAAAAAAAATGAGACTTCACCATGAATTTAAAAACAATTGCAACACGATGTACGAAACAGATTAAGGGGAGAAGAAAAACGACGCGTCAGCGCCATTGCTATATGGTAATTCGCGAAGACGTTGGAAAATCCCTAGACTAGTTATTTTTCCTGATCCAGAGTCTACTCTTGTAACGAAGAACGATGATTTTGCGAAACGTCGGACGGGAGGTTAAGATTAATCGAGGGCAGAGATAATCGGCTTAGATCGATTGATTAATTCCGCCGGCCTGTGTCGACAATAAGAGCCAGGTTCAATTTTCGTTTCTCCTTAACTGCACTCGTGGCTCGCGAACGCGATGTAATAACGCGCGACAGTGCGTTTCACAAGGCGAGCGAATAAACTGGTGAATAATGGATGAGCCAACGAAGCGTGTCGCGCTCTTTAGAACGACGGAAAACAGGGTTACTCTATTACGACCGCGATAACCTGGCTACGGTATGGCTGTTCGTTGTTTATCGCTAAATTTGTTCCTGCAAACTGACGCCGGTTTATTTTTAAAGCACGTAGCGCTTCGTTTACACCCATTGGAATCGTCATGTTGGCGATTCTCGCGTCGATTATGGCTGACGAGCACAAGCACCACGACTTCTTGCGTTTGAGAAGCTTGGAGGATACCACGTCCAGTAAGGGACACGGTATATCAGTTTCGGTCTCGTTGTCTGTATTACAGTTGACCGAAATCGAGACTCCTCGGCGATGAATCATCGTGTAGGGGACTCGATTATACGAAATCGATACGATCCGTCATTTTGCCGAATGTAGGGAAAGGCAGCGCGAGTGAAAGAGAGACAGATCCGAGAGACGGCTCGATGAAGCGAAACATATCAGCTGGAAGATGTTGATGCAACAATGAAACTATTTTATTTTCGATTATCGTTGAACGAAACGATCGCCGATGCAATTGCGAGGCGTTCCCGATTAGAACAAGACCAAATGCAACTTGCAGCATATTTGCTTATCTAGTGACATTATCTTACTGTCTTTATCATATATCAAGCATACGTGCAAACGCGATTTAAACTACATCGCGTTTGGTCTCGTCTTAATCAGAAAGATCTCACGAATAGCTCGGTAAAACTTGAATCGAAGAAAAATTAAAAATAGGAAAGTATCATCGTTGTCTCGTGGGTAACTATTACTTTCTTCACGGACAATTGAATTCGGATCAGGTTACGCTACTCAATCGTCGAACTTCGTGTTCCGTCGAAGGGAACATTAGGGGAACTCCCTCCGGTAATGGCGGAGACGACCTGTCAATTACGGGGAACAAAAAAGCGAACATTTAGATACTACTGTATCACTACGTTTATCGATATAGCGCTCTGTCCTTTCATCGGATAACGAAAGATGCATAAAAATCTAGCAGTACGTCTTTTTTTTTGTATTTAGGGAAATGAAAGATCCTGCGAGTGCCACTGAATTTTCATTTCTTAAGCTACAGCGCTTCTATAGCGATTCTTTTCACTGATGAAGTATTAGGTTATTCGATTAGGGTTAGCATTAAGGTTAGGTTACCCTAGGCTACCTTAGGTTAAGTTAGGTTAGGTTAGAAAGAGTCGACGGAGATACGACTCTACGTTTCTTGGATTTGTGAAGCTCGGAGATCGTACGCAGTTAAAGTCGTGATAATTTAATATGAATCTCCATCGATATAGCGCTCTGTTCTTCGAGGAATCAAAGAAGAATTGCTCAGCTACTGAAGAATCAGCTAATGAAAACCTATTACGTGCACAGTGTGTCGATTATGATATTTCATATAAGACCAAGAAATCTGTCCAATCCTTATGAACGAGAATCATCCGTATTTCTGATTCAATGGATTGTAAAAGATAGCCTTATGTTGTAAAAGAGAGCCTCATCTGGGACTTCGAAATTGACGAAGTTCGTCACGAGAATTTGCGAACCAATGCGACGGAAAGGATTCTCGCTAGATGCGACTTCGAGCGAAGATAACCCGCGGCATAGAAGTAGAACGCGGTAGTTCTCGCGTGATTGAAAAATTCCACCGACTTCGCAAAGAAGAGGAGCAATGACAAAAAAAGGAAAGAAAAAGATGACACAGAAACAATTTGCTTAATGGCGTTTGTTCATTCGCCGATTAATCGTAAAAGTGGCTATAATCGGTCTGCCTTCACTGTGTACGTCGTTTTCGCGTTAAAAGATGAAAAAGTGGCACGACTGTCGCCACCAGATGCGAAGCAGTGGAAAAATTGCTCGGCCGGCAAGTGGTAAATTAATTGTTTTGCCTATCGAACGAGAAGCGCCGTGAAAGATTCGAGTGACTCCGTCCGCCACAGTGATTCGAATGATTCATCTGCATGAAAATATTCGGCTGGTATTTTACAACGGCGACAAAAAGTATCGAAGAATGTGTGCGTTTGCCAAACGCGGCGACTGTTTCAACGAGCGATTATCACAGCAGCTCCACCGCACGATCTACCGCGTAGCCACCGCAAACCCGAGCTTTCGTTTCGCCACGATATTGTTTAACCATTAAACTTTATTATTTCGCTCGCGGTTATTTAACTAGGTTACGAAACGTCGTGCAATTTTTCGCCGATTTATGCAAACACGAGCTCTCGCTGGGCAGAGGAAGGTTTTCAGAATGCGTTTATTTTACTATTTTTCGCGAATGCGAGGTAGTACTTTTTGTTTCAGATCGGGCTGTATATTCTTTTCCTTCTCTTTCTCTTTCTTCTTTTTTTTTTTTTTTTTTAATACTCCACGTAATATTAGGTTTCATAAATTTAACGTGTTTCGCGTAATATGACACCAAGGTTTTTTTTAAAAATTAAGGCATTTCGCATAATACGGATCGCATAATAAGATTTAATTTAATATTAAATTAAACGTAGTATAGTACAGGGTGTTCCAAATTTCAAGCATTTCGCGCAGTATAATATTAGTGAGATTTTCTTCATTTAGATCGTTTTACGCACTACGAAATTTTTCATTAAATTTCCGGTATCTTAGGTAGTATCAAAGCCTCTTTAAAATGCAACATGTTTCGTATAGTACGAAGAGACGGTTTTAAATCTAAGACCACCCTTCACGTAGCGCTATGTTGTTTTTAATCTACCACTTACGTACCAGTACGTACGATCTTGTGTTACCTTAACGTGGCATTTAAACGATAATTCATCGTGGCGTAGTTATTAATATTTATTGCCTGTACAACGAAATAAATGCAACTATACTTCTGTTTGAATTTATAGCACTTTGCGTAATTACATCGCGAACGTTATTCACGACTGGCAGAAATAAAATTTCAAATTCGAGATCGATTCGAGACTATGGGAAAATTCGAACGTGTTGAACCGCCGCCGATGAATAATTCATCGCGTATAATTAATCGAATTCGCTAAGTTGTTTCACGCCTGCAGGGATGGCAACCGCCTCCTTTCAGTTTCAAAATCTCCGCCCTCTGCTTTATTAATATTTCGGCCCGATGCTCGTTAATTATTCATCGGGGATTCGTTCGATCATCGCGATTTATCGCGACACCAGATAATCCTCCACCAGAAAACCTGTTATCGTAGGATATTATTTTAACGAGAACGAAATTTATAATTGACACGCGATCATCGCGATCATATCTGACATTACAACGCGTTAATAGCGGATACGACGAAAATTCAACCGATTCGAGGGTCCTACGTAACACGGAGTTTCCATTCAACGAATTTCATGGTTAATGATTGCACGTGTTTTCGAAAACTCGCGGTAAATCGCTTCTCGAGCGAAATAGCAATTTTATAAAATCTACACCGCTGTTCATAAATATTTGCACATTCGCCGAGCTCGCGAGGAACATGGCAATCGATTCACGTTGTCAGGAAGAACAAACGTGACGGTTGATGCAGATCGACTGTCCGATCTTAAAACTCATCTTAGTCAACGCGACGAACCTTTCGTATAAAACATTCGCAACCT